AACCTCCGAAAGGTCCCTGTCATCCCACCCCGCATCCATTACCTCTATCTGCAGAACAACTTCATAACTGAGCTCCCAGTGGAGTCCTTCCAGAATGCCACGGGCCTGAGGTGGATCAACCTGGATAATAACCGAATTCGCAAGATAGACCAGAAGGTACTGGAGAAACTGCCCAGTCTGGTATTCCTCTACATGGAGAAGAACCAGCTCGAAGAGGTGCCCTCAGCCCTGCCCCGGAACCTGGAGCAGCTGAGGCTGAGCCAGAACCAGATCTCCAGAATCCCGCCCGGCGTCTTCAGCAAGCTGGACAGCCTGCTGCTCCTGGATCTCCAACACAACAAGCTGAGTGATGGCGTCTTCAAGCCTGACACCTTTCAGGGCCTCAAGAACCTCATGCAGCTCAACCTGGCCCACAACATCCTGAGAAAGATGCCACCCAAGGTGCCCACGGCCATTCACCAGCTCTACCTGGACAGCAACAGGATCGAGACCATCCCTAATGGCTACTTCAAGGGTTTCCCCAACCTTGCCTTCATTCGCCTTAACTACAACAGGCTGTCAGACAGGGGGCTCCCCAAGAACTCCTTCAACATCTCCAACCTGCTCGTGCTCCACCTGTCCCACAACATGATCAGCAGTGTGCCCGCCATCAACAACAAGCTGGAGCACCTGTACCTCAACAACAACAGCATAGAGAGTGAGTGGGGGCAGGGCCACGGCCACGGCCACGGCCAGGGAAGTGGAGGCTCTTATTGGCCATGGCCAGGGAAGTGGGGGCTCTTATTGCCTCAATCCTTTCTAGGAGCTTAGGGTGAAGGGGGTGGGGGGTAGAGCAAAAAAGCACCCAGTTTGGCACTGGACTTCAAATCTTGACCTTGCCACTTACTATCTGTGTGACCTTGAACAGATATTTCACCTCTCTGGGAAGTTGTCTCATCTGTAAAATGAGAATGGGAGCAATACCTTCGGTCACAAAGTTGGTATGAGGATTTAATAGGCTAATATGGATAAAGTGCCCAGAATACCATGCTTGGAGGGTAAGAGCTTTTCCTCCTCTGTCCCTTCTCGCTAGCCCCAGGTTCTCTGCCTTCCAGATCTACAGTTGGGTAGACACGGAATGCAGTCCCAGACATTCTCGTGAAAGCAGAACAGTGACGTGTTCTGAGTGTCACTACTCTGAAATGTCCTGCGTCTGTCCCCTGTACAAGCTGCCAGTTATGAGAGGAAAGCTGAGCCTAGGTTTTGAGGAATCTCTAAAAGATGTTCACAGCAAAGCAGCTACATACTTGGGGTAGGCAGCTGGTAAAGACCCGGCAGCCAGAGCGCAGGCGCTTTCCAAGTCTAGCTGGAAGGCGGGAATATTTCATCATGTAAGAGCACATTTAAGGTAGAATTTGCCTAAGCTACATTTATAGGGTTCTGGGCTTGGGGTAAAGATTGCAGCCCAGAAGAAGAAGCTGGAAGTCCCACTTTTGCTTCCATCAACAATGTCAGCTCTGAGCAGAGCATCGACAGAAAGCTTCAAAAACAAGAGAGTATATTATCTGGTCCTTGAACAAAACCAGGCTCCATCCACACCAGGAATGTAGCAGCTATAGTGTTGAAGGGGACCAAGGGGAAAGGGCAGCACCCCTAAGATAATATTAGGAATCCTTAGTTTCCAAGCCAAAGAATGAGAGGGAGATTGTTGAATTCCTACAATCTTGAAACAAATGGATGGGAGAACAGTTTCGTTCACTCATCTGGGATAATTACAGGAAGTTGGGGAGGGCTTTTTTTAAAGCTTGCAAAAAAACAAATTCAGGAAAAGGGGAAACTGTTTAATTTCATCCTGCAGGTAGTGAACTGATGGAACGCATTACCCCAAAAGCTAGATAGGCCGAAAATCCAGGCAGAAAGAATACCTCACTCAATGGCCGGCAGGTCTCTATCAGGGTGGGGAAGGGCAGGCTCCTAGGGGATATCCTGCCTTTTGAGGCTGAAGTCAGAAAAATCACACCCCGTCCACCTGTATCCCCTGTGCCCAGCCTGTGTCCCGTGTCAAGGATGGACAGAGTGGGCAGAGCCAGCCCTAGGTCAGTGTGATGGCCATGTTCACAGCAATGATCTTAATGTTGCCACCTGCCCCATCCTGGACAGTCTGCACAATGCCTTTGCCAACATCCTCTCATCTGGGGTGGGGGGCAGGCACCATTCTCACCATTTCACAGATTTGGGAACTAAATGTCAGAGCGGTAAGGTGACAGTCCAAAGTCACAGTGGTCGTGAGAAAAAAATCCACCGATGTCAGCGTTCTCCAGAACCTCCGAAAGGTCCCTGTCATCCCACCCCGCATCCATTACCTCTATCTGCAGAACAACTTCATAACTGAGCTCCCAGTGGAGTCCTTCCAGAATGCCACGGGCCTGAGGTGGATCAACCTGGATAATAACCGAATTCGCAAGATAGACCAGAAGGTACTGGAGAAACTGCCCAGTCTGGTATTCCTCTACATGGAGAAGAACCAGCT